ACCATATTTTAAAACCTTTGATTCTTATTACTTATAGCCCAACTCGACAGCTTTGCAAATTATATGTTCAATCATTTCCTCCCATTTTTCCTGTCTTGGTCTTTGATTACTTTGGTCTTAGATTATTTTTATAATTGCTAACCAGTTATCTCACACCTGCTATGAAATACATCTTTTTGTGACCTTATTATTCCTCAGTGGAGATATTTAATTCCCCAAGCATACTTCTCCTCTTATGTCAGTAATCTAAGTTGAACAGGCATGCCTAGTAGAATTTGTTTAAACTTGTTTTGCAGACATTTTTTATTTTTGAGTCAGAGTCTCTGTCATCCAGTCTGAAGTGCAGTGGCATCCTCATGGTTCCTGCAGCCTCGACCTGCCGGGCTCAGGCAATCCTTCCACCTCAGTCTTCCAAGTAGCTGGAGCGTGCCAACATGCCTGGCTGTTTTTGATTTGTTGGAGAAACAGTTTCACCAAGTTGCCCAGGTTGGTCTTGAACTCCTGGGTTCAGGCAATTCTCTTGCCTCCACTTCCCAAACTGCTGAGATTCCAGTTGTGAGGTACCATGCCTGGCTACAATTTATATTCTTTACATGCATCAACATGATATATAACTCCTTTATCTCTTCCATTAATTCACTCAGCACATTTAAATTCCAAAGGAACCTCACATATTTTTTTTTTTTTTGAGTCGGAGTCTCTGTTGCCTAGGAGTGCAGTGGCATGCTCATGACCACTGCAGCCTCCACCTGCTGGCTTTAGGTGATCTTTGTTCTCCAGCCTTCCAAGTGGCTGAACCACAGGCATGCACCACCACACTCACCTAATTTTTTGATTTATTGTAGAGACAAAGTCTCGTCATGCTGCCCAGGCTGGTCTTGAATCCGTGGGCTCAGGCAATCCTCTTGCATCCCAAAATGCTGGGATGACAGGCATGAATCACTGTCCCTGGATGGAACTTTGCACTTTGTATAAACTCAGTTTTTACTGAATAACTGTGATCAATTTTTCATTTTCTAGCTGTTAAGTGTTTGCAGGATGCACCTGATATTTGTCTAGCTTGCATTAAACTCGATTGACTCTGTATTGAAATAATGCTGAGATGTCTTGGGTTTTTCAATTCCAAAGCCTTACACTGATTCTCATTTTTTCACTCTTAGATGTCAAAAGAACCATATGGAATACTTATTCATTCCAGTTGTAATAAGAGGATCAAACTCAAAATTAATTTAAATGAGTTTTCTCCAACATTCTGTAACACCATGATGCCTCCCACCTCAACACAGTACCTCATGACAATTGAAAACAACGTAATGTGTTTCCTGTTAAACATCACCAGGGCAGGGCCATACCCATCTTTTTCACTGTCAGTGCCTGATCCCTTTAGTATACTCTATGACCACATTTCAAATAAGACATTACTAAGCCCTACAAGTTACCAAAAGTACTTTAAAAAAAACCTAAAAAAACAAAACCTGGATGATTGATGAAAATCCAGGAATCATGTTCTAAATTTGTGCCAGAATACATATTATAGGCTGAATTCCCATTTGCTGTAAAGAAACACTAGACAATCTTATGTAGGGAAAGAGGAAGGATTAGGCAAGAACAAGGAAGGTAGGAGGTACTGAATAGTTATGGAAGTCACATTTGCAGGAATTAATGGTGTTTTAACCATAACAGTAAATAAGACAAAGTATGAGAAACTAGCATAGATAAGTGTAAGAGAGGTCATACAGATTTGCTTATATGTAAAATAAATGGAATCAAGTCCTCAATAGGGGGTCAATCCTTGTGTCCATCATCTGGAGAAGAAATCTGTGCTAATCAGAAACCAACGAGTAAGGAAAGAATTTACTTTAGATTCTGATGCAAAAGGTCAAATTGTGTGGAAGGTCATCCCCTCATTTGTCTGATATATGATCCCCAGGTAAGATGCCACTAGAGTCGAGCCAATCCATTTCATTTATGTTTTGGGTCAAGTCTCACTCTGTTGCCCAGGCTGGAATGCAGTGGAACAATCACAGCTCATCACCGCTTCTACCTCCTGGGCTCAAGTCGTCCTTCTGCTTCAAGCCTTTCAAGTAGCTGGGACCACAGGCACACACCGCAATGCCCAACTTTTTTTTTTTTTTCTTGTAGAGACAGGGTCTTACTATGTTGCCTAGGCAGGTTTCAAACTCCAGACCTCACATGATCCTCCCCACCTTGGCCTCCCAAAGTGCTGGGAATACAGTTGTGAGCCACTGCACTTGGCCTCCAGTTTCCTCTCAAGTGAAAATACAATCAAGATCCTTGGAGGAGCTAGTATTCACTTTAGGAAAGAGGTTGACCTTCGCTGAGACATAAATTCTACTTAAACTAGAATTTTACTTTTTAAAAAGGTCATGGACTTTGCCTTGGTCACTGCTGTATCCCTAGAGCTTAGAATAGCAGGTGCTCAATAAATTTGTAAAAACAACTTACAACTTTTATATTCACTAAAGGTAGATCACTTCTTACATAGAAAGGTAATAAGGACAAAGAATGTTATGAAATTCTTTTAAGGTGCTGTAACAAAGCCCTAATCTTACTAAGGGCTCTGGACTTTATTGTTATATATTTCAAGTTGTATATTCAAATTTCACCTGCACTAAACAATTACACTTTAGGGTAGGAGTAGTAGCAAGTCTTCAAGATTGTTCAAATGTTTATACAGGGGTTTTAATATTGCCAAATGGTTTCTCAAAGATGAATTAACTAGATGAGTTTCACAAGTATGGTCAAAGAAACAAACAAAAAACCATTATAAAAAGGTCATAATTCAAGACTTAACCTCTAAGCTGTAATTAAGTAGCAACTGCTTCACATTACTTCTGCTCTCAATAGTTTCTGGTTCAGATTTTTATTTTAGATCAACAATTTTTACCTAAGAAATAAAGCATCTTAAATTTTGAAGAATTGAAAAGGTTCAGAATTGTATTCCAACTTCCTATTTCTGTGTTCTACCAAGTTAACTACACCTACATTAAAAAATCTGACTCAACCCCTTTCTCCTATATGGCTGTTACTTGGCTGTATCACAAACCAGGACTAAGTTCCTACAGTACAGCCCTGCAAGGGAGGCCCAACTCAAGACATTCTGCCATAGAAAATACTTATGCCCTGAAAAGTTTCCAAAGGCTTACTGTTCTACTTGTGACTGCAATATCCAATTTCCCAGAAATGTCCAAGTCACTCATTTAGAAAAGCATCCAGACTACGCCCCTCCCCCGCTGAAAACCTAACCGCAAGAGCAGAACTTTTAGGCCCATTTCCTAATTCTTATATTTTGAATAACTGTAAAGTGTAGTGCTTTCCAACTCTCATCCAGGAAACTACTCCCTTCAGAGACTAATAACACATAACCTTACCCACTACCCCGGCCGAGGTAAAGCCCAGCATTTTCTCCAAGCACTGTAAAAGTCAGTGTCCTAGGAGGCCCAACGATCCCCACCTCCTAGTATAGATATCCTTGTGTAGTCCCTTACCACACTGTACTAGACTGGGGCAATGACTGGCTGTGAACCAATAGAATATGGCAGAAGTAATGTCATCTGAGGCTATGTCATAAAAAAAGTATGGCTGCTGCTCACTTTCTCAGCTCACTTGCTCTGGAGGGAGCCAGATGCCAGCTGTTAGGCAGCCCTGTGATCCCACACAGTGAAACTGAGGTGCAACAAGCCATGTGAGCCAGTCATCTTTGGAGTGGCTCTTCTAGTTCATCAGATCTTCAAGGTATGTCAGCCCTGGTTGACAGCTTGACTGTAACCTTATGAGATTTCTAGCCAGAGCTCCCAGCTGATAAGCAACTCCTGGATTCCTGATTTGGAAACTGGGGGAAACAGTACAACATGTTTGTTATCTTAAATTATAGTGATAAGCTAGACACACTGGTCAAAGATTACCCATTATTTCTTGAGTGAAAAAAAACTATACTTTGACTAGAAATAAAATACTAATTTTGATAAAAAAAATTTGGCTGGAGCCAGGCTCGGTGGCTCAGCCTGTAATCCCATGCCTTTGGGAGGCTGAGGTGAGTGGATTGCCTGAGCCCGCGGGTTCGAGACCCGCCTGGGCAGCGAGACCTCATTTCTACAATAAGTCAAAAAATCAGCCGGGCGTGGTAGCGCATGCCTGTAATTCTGGCTACTTGGAAGGCTGAGGCGGAAGGATCCCCGGAGCCCAGCAGGTCGAGACTGCGGCCACTGCACTCCAGACTGGGCGACAGAGTGAGACTCCAACTCAAAAAAAAAAAAAAAAAAATTTGGCTGGGAACAGTGGCTCAAGCCTGTAATCCCAGAACTTTGGGAAGCCAAGGCAAGAGGATTGCCTAAGCCCAGGGGTTCGAGATCAGCCTGTGCAACTTGGTGAGACCTTGTCTCTACAATAAATCAAAAAATTAGCCAGGCGTGGTGACATGTGCCTATAGTTCCAGCTACTAGGAAGGGTGAGGTGGAAGGATTGCCTGAGTCCAGCAGGCAGAGGATGCAGTGGCCGTGAGTGTGCCACTGCAACCCAGCCTGGGCAACAGAGTGAGACTCTAACTCAAATAAATCAATAAACTAGAAAGAAAAAAATTTGGTTTCATGTTTGATATTCAAGGAAAAAAAGGGGAAAAAAAAATCCCACTCAACTAGTATGCTCCTAAAGAAAAAACTGAGTATGTGCTATCTGTACCGAATACTTATTAGATTGTAGCCTAAAGTGTCAAGTATTTCCAACAATTGCATTCAAAATGTAGCAGCAGTACACTTTCTTTGACCTTATTTTTTTTCCTCACTGGGACTGACACACAGATACTGGGCAGTGTATCTAGCAAGTTCCAAAAGGTCTAAATTAGGATGATTTTTATGTAAAGGAAATGTGAAAGTAAGTAAATGCAGTATCAGAAACAGTACTTAATGACCAGTATAGTTGCCAACTGTAGGATTCAACACAATGCAGGGTTTTCTTTGACATTTATAGACATCACAGATCACTACCAGAACATCACATAAGTTTATTTCAGATGTAACAGCAATGTTAAAATTGACAAGTTTAATTCTTAACTGCACCAAGTAAACTTAGCCATTTAAGTATTTTTTAACTTATTCCCTCCAAAAAACTGAGGGAGCTTTCCTTTTCCACCACCACACACCATGGTTTCCCAATAGTTCTTTTTGGAGGACTTTCAATTGATGAGTAAACTGCTTTGGAGATATTTCAGAACTTCTTTCCCCAAATGAAAACTAATCTGGACATATATTGCATAGATCTCTCTACAGATTCTTTTCTTTAGAACCTAAATGCAATTACCATACAGTAAAAATTTAACCTATTTGTCCCATAGTAAAAACTACCTGTCCTGAAAAATATGATGGATATATCCTGTGATCTTCCAGTTAATAGAATTATTGTTTTACCTCAAAGATAATCATTATTATATATCAAAATAACCAACTCAACATGGGACATTACTTCAGTCTTTACTGATGCACAGGCATAGGAACTAGTGCCCAGTTTCTACCTCTTCCACATGCTCCTCCTCTTCCTCCCCAAGTGGATGGAATTATTTAATACAAGTTTGATGTAGGACAAGGAACCCTTTACAAACATTTACAATTTAGGTTAAGTCATTGACTAGTGTGGAAACAGAAACTCTATAATGACAGGGAGCCTACACACTGAATCCAAAATTTAATATTTTTCCCCCTTAAATAACATGTACTTAATTGTCATGAGGCAGCTATTCGGTTTTCAATAACCATATTTAGGGATACATTCATAGGACTGATTAGATAGTCCAGGTGAAATGGTTATAGAAATTGAGGCAGTGTCATCTCAGAAAACTCACTTATATATCAAAATCTATTTTGATATCTGGGAAATTTACAAAAAAGGCTGAATTCTTCAAACTAATTATGCCTTCCGTAACTCAAGCACTCTTCTCTTGGCAAGAGCAAGCTGAAGCTTATCCATGAAGGTAAAGGTGCTTAATGCTAAACTTTTCTTCTAAGCTTAGATTTGGACTGTTTAAGAAACTGATACCCACAAAACACAGGATGGTCTTTCTACATTTTTACCATCTTAAGATCAGAACCCTATAAAATTAATTCAACTATCTTCTTTTTCTGTATTATTTCTTGGCACTCAAGACTGAAGTCTACTGTACTTTGTACTTTCACATTCTCAAATAAAAACTTAAGGTTTTAAAGTGTGCACATTTTATAAAATAATTTTGTCATTTAATATATTTGGAGATGAGACTTTCATACCAAAATTTTACATAAGAGGAAAAACACTATGAATCAACCTTCCTTTTAAAGTCAGACGAAGAAAACTCAAGTCCAGTAAACTGTTTTAAAGTTTAACTGAAAACATTTTTTGGGCTATGAGTACTAGCAACCTAAAAACTTCTAAATATTGGAGATGGGACTATGAGAGGAAAGCATGACTATTTCAGATGCCTCTCATCTTACAAAAAGTTATCAACCTGTCAAAGTCACTTCCCATGTGCCAGAAAATGATCTGGCAGAAACCAGTCTTGTCAGTAGAAGGGGTCACAGTGACATCTGCATTATTAACACTTCGTACTTCTGTTTTCCAAGGATAGAAGCAACATGTTTAATGATTCCCCTTACCCCAAACTCTTCAACTCAATATCGTAGGCACAGAGTATAAGCAAATCTGGGATGTTCTTCAACAGATAAAGCAATAGCACAGCTATGTTATTCTCAAAAATACTGTCTAGATATTCCTTCCTATAAAATCAAATGCTCAGTGGTCACTTTTAACAGCCTGCATTAGTTAACCTTAAATGCATTTATTGTGCCACAAGTCCATACAAGCTTCCTTTTAGGTATGTCTTAATACGTCCAAGAGAAAACACCTGCTTTAGGTTTACTTAGGGGTAGTGACCTATAAGGACATCAACTCCACTTTTAAGGTTAGACTACTGTTGAGTTTACTGATTTAAAAGGACAGGAGAAAAAAATTAAATCACAACAAACCTCTTTAGGTCAGTTAAAGGCCATATCTCTAGCTGGGATATTAAAAAAAATTAATCTCACCAGCCCACACTCTACAAGTTAATGTCACTATTAACAATCAACAGCAGGAAAAATAAACCTGCTACCAACCAGCCCACTCATTAGCAAAAAAGTAGTTTAACTCAAACACTTAGACCAAAGTATAATACTACCTACGCAAACTGCCCCACCCACTAGCAAGAAGAGAAGAAATAATTGCTTGAAAAATCAAAATAAGCTTAGTATTTCTTACAAGGAGAACAACGGTCCAACTCCTGAGAGTTCTCGGAAGGACTAAAGGTGGAGTGAAGGCAATGTCTAGGGATTAGTATCCCACAAAGTCTTTATAAACCCAAAGTACCACACACACTAAACTTGTCTATGAATTAGAGAACAAGATATTGCTGCTGCTTCTTTTTGTCTTTTGAAATATACAATATTTTGTAGGCTCTGCCCTTCAATGTAAAGCAGGACATTTAAAAAAACAGCTAAAAATTTTGAAATTATTTGACACCTAAATTTTGAGGACCATATATCTTAACTGCAAAATTAAACAGATCTGCTTTCTTCCTTCAGTCAAACCACCTCACAAAAATAAGAGAACTAAAACAATCCAAACATGATTATTTTTTAAAGTCCTTGAAAGAATTAAAAACTTTTAGAGGAAAGGAAAGAAAAGAAAGAAGAAAAACAAGAACAAAGGGGGGAAAACTTTAAAAGAAAGAGGGGGGAATCAATGGGCCTCTCTTTTTATTTGGCGACAAGCAAGTGCAAGAAAGTTCATTTGTAATTCGTTCAGTTGTCTGTCTTTTGCACATCTGTGTTCTGACCAGAAGGAACTTTGAGGTTTTTCTGCAGCACATGAGCATCTGCGGGCTCTATCCTCTTATAGTAGTTCTTCTTTGTCTCAATAATCTCAAAGCCAAATTTCCTGTAGAAGTCAATTGCTGACTCATTGCTGATCTGGACATGCCTGAAATATAAGAAGGTAACAGAAAATAATAACAATAATAATAATAATAAAAGTAAAGTTTAATCAGGTATTAAGTATTCTCCACGGGATAGCTCCAAATTGATTGGAGCTGGAATATTAGAGATATTGGTTACATTCTCTTTAAAATTACTAGTAATCAGCAAATATTAGGTATTTATTTCCCAAAAACATTAACCTAATTTTTACATTTGCAAGAAAGCTGGCTTAGATAGGAGGCTTAGTAATAATGTTTATTCTTGCAGTCAACAAAGGGTAAAGTACCCAAGCAGTTATAATATTTTTTATTCTAAGGGAAAAAAAAGATTCCTGTATTTAAAAATGTGTTAAATAACTATAGGAATGATTTAAAGGCCTTATTAACAAATGCAGGAAAGAAAATGATGAAAAATAAAAAACTAGTATCTCAAAGCTTGAATATATCCTCTTTCTGACTGATAAAAACATGGTACATTTTGAAAATAAAAAATTTGAGCTTTCTCAAATATTCTCCAAAAAATAAAGCACATAATTTAACCCTTTGCACTTGGAGACACCTTGCAGATCACCACCAGCAACTCAGCTGCAGTTTTTTTTTTACAAAATAATGAAAAGTGAGTAATTCCCTATTATATAGTATAGCACTGGACCAATTATGTTATCAAAATATTTGACTCATAATAAAATTTTGGACACCGAGGAACTTATTTATGACAAAAAAATTGAAAATTTAATGTTTTTTTCCTAACATGTGGTATGTGTGAAACAGTCAATGACATGCATTGAGAGTTCATTGAGAAATGTTGTGCAACAGTAATTTGTTTGACATCCTCCACATGGTGTTTTCTATTCAAGCAGACAATGTAGTCTAATGTTCTTCCTCCCACATTAATAATATATAATTTATTCAGTCTGTGTACCACTGTGAAAGTACTTTACACATTCTCTCTCTCCTTTTTTTTTTTTTTTGAGTTGCAGTCTCACTCTGTCGCCCAGACTGGAGTGCAGTGGCCGCTCCTGGCCACTGAAGCCTCGACCTGCTGGGCTCCGGCGATCCTTCCCCCTCAGTCTTCCGAGTAGCCAGAATTACAGGCGTGTGCTACCACACCCGGCTAATTTTTGATTTATTGTAGAGATGAGGTCTCGCCAAGTTGCTCAGGCGAGTCTCGAACCCTTGGGTTCAGGCAATCCACTCACTTCAGCCTCCCAAAGGCACAGGATTACAGGCTGAGCCACTGAGCCCGGCCACATTCTCTTTCTATATAACGTCAGCTGATATTCTTTTAACATATATCCTCAGTATATATTCCAACTCTGTTTTATGCAATTTGAATGGAAAACTTCAAGGAAACACATATTTTTGAAAAAGTTGTGCTAGCATAAGCTTGTCTTGTATAAGCATGAGCAATTTCTTTTCTTTTTTTGAGTTGGAGTCTCACTCTGTCACCCAGACTGGAGCGCAGTGGCCACTCCCAGCCACTGCAGCCTCGACCTGCTGGGCTCTGGCAATCCTTCCACCTCAGCCTTCCAAGTAGCTGGAACTACAGGTTCCAGGTGCGTGCTACCACGCCCGACTAATTTTTGGTTTATTGTAGAGATGAGGTCTTGACAAGTTGCCCAGGCGGGTCTCAAACCCATGGGCTCAGGCAATCCACTCACTTCAGCCTCCCAAAGCGCTGGGATTACAGGCAGCGCCACCGAGCCCGGCTGAGCAATTTCTTTATGTCCTCTGAGAAGGAACTTCTGAGTGCAAAGGGTTAATATCTCTCATGGCCAAACTGAATGATAAACAATCTATGGCTGTGATTTTAGATTCGGCTCTTAATCTACAGTACCTTGAGATTCAAGTATAATCTCAGATTGGTAATCTCTGACTTTGATTACTAAACTCTACTACAAATAAGCATGTCACTGATAGCCTTGAATAAAACACAGAGTGAAAACAGCATGGCATAAGATAAGTAATATTAATAATGGTTTTGAATCCTGAAGACCTGAGTTCTAATCCTGATTTCATCCTTATGATCCTGGAGTTCCCATCCCAGCAGAGTAAATGTATATATTTTATCTAAGGTTCCTAATCTACAACTAAAATAAAACAAAACAAACAACTACCTACACTTTATAAAAACTACTTCCATGGTGTTTCTAAAGACACAATGAAATAAGTGACCAGATTTTAAAAATTTTTACTGCCAATTTACTAAACTCTTAATAAAACATTAAATATTATTTTACTTACAGATAGATGTTGTCAAAAGTGCCATCTTTTTCACAGATGTTTAAGACGTGATTTAACATTTTAGTTCCTATTAATAAGACAAACAACAAATAAGTAATTTCATAAGCTAACCTTTAAATTACACATCTGCTTGCCACCTGAACTACTTATTGAGTACTAATAGAATTCAAGAGGGATACACTAGAACTAGATGACCCTATTTTCCAAATTTTTGTTTGCTCTACAATAGCTATGTGTATTTTAAAATGTTAGCAGAAAAGTAACCTTTTAATACAAGCACTTCCAGATAGAAGGAAAGAAAAAAAGTAAAAAAATCTATGCAGGGCTTCTAACTGATTTATGTTAATAAATAAGTTATCTTTAACCTTATTTTATATAATTCAGTAACTCAGTATTCCTAAAAAGAAATAAATTAACTAGTCAATACATTAACAGTGTATTTATGCTTCTTTGTAAAAGAAAAGAACCACAAATAATTTTACCTATTCCTAGTCTTCGGTAAGGTGCCAGACATCCTAATGTCATGATGTAAAGTCTCTTCTGATTCTGTGAATGATCCACCCTACAGCACACCGCACCTACGGCAATATCATTGAAATAGGCTGCCATGGAAAATATAAAGATATAACATTCAACAGATAGAATACCACATTTTATTCAATCTTCTTCCTTCTAAGAGACAACACTGTTGCTATCTGCATTAAATTTTATCAGCTACTCTATGAATATCAATGGCCTCATCTTAAGTTTAAGCCTTCTCTAGAATAAAACCAGGTAAGTGAAAACACACAGGCATACACTAAATAATAGAGAACATTTAATATTTCCTGTTAAAATTCAAAAATTTTATTTTGGTTTGAGATTTTTTTTCACAACCTAGACCACCCCCATTTTCCTTACTTGTAAAATAAGGAAACTAAATTAGTTAACTCTTCCTGCTCTAACATTAAAAACTAGGGATCAAGAATACAAAGGACTGAAGGGAGGAGGGAAAAAAAAACATATTATACCAAGTTTTGCTAGCTCGCCAACTTCCAGCACATCCTTGTAGAACTTGTCATTGTAGCTGACTGGAAAGATGACCTGGTTCAATCTCTTCAACTGCTTAATATTGTGGGGTGTCACATCTCCCAGCTCGATCCGGCTACTGGAACAAACCAACACGTACTCAATAAAATATAATTAGCTTCATGTGTAAAATTAAGATGAACAAATGAAATGAGCACCATGTCTTTTTTTTACATGTTTGATAAATCCTACTCTTCAATAGTGATGTTATAGTCCTATGATGATTACCACTTATAAGCAAAATTTGCCAACCATTCTAACCAAACTCTACTCATAGCTTCCATAAAGTTGTACACATCTAGGGACAAATATAGTGCACAACAACTACTAACATCAAGATAATATTTTACAATAAGTGACAACATTTTTCTTGTAATAGAGTTTAGAAAAATTTGGATACACCTATTACTGATAAAAAAGACTGATACCTGATACTGGCAAGGGGATAGCAAATACTATTCTTACACCCTGCAGACGAGTATTTAAATAGATATAATATCTCTTGAGGACAATCTAGCACTATGTATCAAAAGTCTAAAAATTACATCTCCTTTGTCCAAGCAATCCCACTTCGCGTAATTTATCCTAAGAAAATAAGCCAAGTAAGCAATAATTATGTACATTCTATTCACTGAGAACAGTGGGTCCTGGAACCACCTGCATCAGAATCACAGAGGGGGTATTCAAAATTCACATTCCTGGATACACCTCCACCCCCTCACTTTCGGAATCAGAATCTCTGAAAACTAAAGAAGAGAATCTACATTTTGAAAAACCCCAGAATGAAAACTAACCATTAGGAATGCAACAGAAGCATTTCTAAGAACCCAAGCTTAATCAAAACAACTGGTTCCATGGGAAAAGAGATTAAAGCTAAAAAGATTCAGATACATAGCGACAAAGTTGTTTTGCTTGTAGAGTTGCCAACAAAAATAAAAATTTAATACCTGAAGACAATTTCACTACTGTAAACTAAAGTGTGATCAAATATAAGGCAAATCTGACAGCATTCTACACTTTTTTCTTCCTATATCTGGTGATACTATCATAAATAGTTGCCTATAGCCATTATTTGCCTACTTAAACGTAACAGTGGGTGGTAAAAATAAAAAGAGCACCAAATCAAACTAAAAACCAAGATTTCAAAAATAAAACATTCTAGGCCAGGCTTGGTGGCTCAGCGAGTAATCCCAGGACTTTGGGACTGCCTGAGCCTGCAGGTTTGAGACCCACCCGGGCAACTTGTAAGACTTCGTCTCTACAATAAATCTGGATCGCCGGAGCCCAGCAGGTCGAGGCTGCGGTGGCCAGGAGAGTGCCACTGCACTCCAGTCTGGGCGACAGAGTAAGACTCCAACTCAATCAATCAATCAGTCATTCATTCTGGTGGCAGTCAAACAGACAGAAAATTATGTAGGCCCTACTCACTCATCAGTAGTTTCAGATCTTATCAGCATCAAAATGCAAACAAGGCATCTTAATAATGATTTGCATCATACTGAGTTATGAAAACTCTCTGCTGGAGAAATAACTAAACAAGAACGTCAATCACCACTTTTATAATAACCAAAAAAAAAGAAGAAAAAAAAAAATCAACATGTCCACTGATAGGAATGATTAAATAAAGCATGTCATATTATTAGCACAAAAAGATGTGATCTATTGTTTTGTGGGGTGAAAGCACACCAACTATACTGTATTTAAAAATGTGTAGCACTTGTAGGTAGTTTTAAAAACATTATTCTGTGAAATGTTAAAATTTCAATAACATACTACCAAAACAAAAATTTTGTTCTTAAAAATAATAGCAGCAATTACAGATCATATAATAGAATGACCAAAGAAAAAGAAAAAAGGAAGACATTTCTAAAGTTGATTTACCTGGATAGAGGTGAATATGATATAGTATTTTATTTTGTGCTACAATTCTGTAAGAGATATTACTCTGTAAAGCCCAGTTAGAAGACCATTCTGTTTGCTAGGGAGTTAGAAGCAAAAACTGAGGATATTTTAACTCCTAATTACGTATTCTGTATCAAGACCACAAGAAAACAAAAGACAGTGGACGGTGTCCTTCCTATCATACTTAAGTTTTTATTTCTTACATTTTATTATAGGAATGCCAGGTACAAGTGAGGTTAACTAAATAAGTAGGCTGCATACAGGTGTGTTTGTTTATAAAGACAGGTTGTTGCTCTGTTGTCCAGACTGGAAAGCACAGTGGCACCACTGGAGCTCACTGCAGCCTCAAACTCCTGGGCTCAAGCAATCCTCCTGCCTCAGCCTCTTGAGCAGCTGGGCCTACAGGCACATACCACCATGCCCAGTTAATTATTTTATATAGATACAGGACTTTCTATGTTGCTCAGGCTGGCTGGCTGCTCTTATAACTAATTTTAGTGCCACAAATTGGGTGCAGTAATTTATTTTACATATAATATACATTAATTATTTTTAGACCATACCATTTAAAAATTACTCCATTCTACTTCTTGAAAAAAGTCTTAGTCTCTGTATTTTAAAGCAATACTTTCAAAGTTACGTTATAAAGTTTAATTGTAAACGATAACCAAGAGTAACTTAACCTAGGAAAAGTCAAGCTTTTAAACTATAAATAAAAGAAGTTGAAGTTTTTGAAAAAAATGTTAATAATTTTTAGGTAATTACCAGGCTTCAAGCATATCTACAGTTTTTGAAAGGACGATAACCAGGTATTGCTTCACTTCATACAAAAAGAAGATGGCAGATCAATAGAGAAAATATTGAATCATTAAGGAATAGGCAGCCTAATCTCCCCTTACCTAAATAAAAAAATATATATCTTGACTTTTTAAAAAAGAACATCAACGTAGAAACAACTAAGGGAAAATATCCTGTAAGAACATGACCAGAAATAAGTCTGCTGATATAGTCTTCCATGTGTTTTAAAAAGATATTAGAAATACTATAGGGTAGCTCTTTGAGAAATCTGAAACTTGCTAGAAACAAATAGAATATGCTAGCAGTTTCGAAGTGTTCATTAAATATAACTTTGTCAGCAAAATTCAACTTTAAATATAGTTTAACTTTCATTAACATGATATGTCTGATTGAAACAGAATACTTCTGTAATCCAGATCACTAAGCTCCAAATTATTTTAAGATGTAGATATTCTAAATATATCAAGGTAATATAATCAACTTGTAAACATAATTTGTCAAATAACATGTAATAAGGCATAAGCATAAGGGATATGTAGAAATGTCAAGAAAATGAGATCACTTGACTGCAAACAACCAAAAAGCTTTCAGAAGTTAAAAGAACGTCTTAAAAAATTAAAAGTACAAAGTATTAGAAAATTCATCTAGAAATGATGCTTCTAAGAATTCTGTGAATCTACATTTTTCTAACATTCTTATGAACATAATAGAGTTGCCTATTCAAAGCATAAATTAGTTCTATTTCAATCAATATTTGAACACCTATGTGCTAAGCACTTGGAATGCAAAGTTTACACTTGGGAAAGACGGTTATACATGATACAATGTGCTATTAACAGTTTGTGTACACAAACTATAAAAGTAACACTCTGTGAAGGTGACCCCAGGAAAAGTTTTGAAAGATGACTAGTTTATTCTGTGAAAGGGTAAAGAGATGCAGTCTAAGGGTAAAACATGAATGTTTTATGTTTACAATGTTGTATTCCCCAAACTACGGTCAGTTTGATATGGCTAAAATGTCAAGAGTGCTGGGATTGAAGGAGAACCACTTTTATGAAGACCCTGTACATCAAGACATATTGGGTTACGTTTGGAGTTTGAACTCCAAAGTCCTAGATCCAAAGCATCTCTAGTGGACACCATTAAAGTAAATATATCAAAACTAATTCCTGATCTTATCTCCAAAATCTGCTCCACTTACCTTTCCTATGTCAGCTGAGGGTCTCTGCATCGGTGGTTGCAGATTACTCTTACCTTTTTTAAAAAGCTTTTTTCACATGATATCTCATGAAGACATACTCTGACACATCTGGTTTTCTTTCTTTATAATAAATATTCTTGATAGGTTTTCTTATCAGGATTATGTTGGCCCCAAAGTAAGCTTAGAAGTGTTTCTTCCTTCTTGCTTTTTAGTTCTGTCAATGTCTGCTTCATACATTTTGTGTGTGTGCGTGTGTATGTGTTGGAGTCTCACTCTGTCGCCCAGACTGGAGTGCAGTGGCACACTCCCGGCCACCACAGCCTCGACCTGCTGGGCTCCAGCAATCCTTCTACCTCTGCCTTCCAAGTAGCTGGAACTACAGGCACGCGCTATCATTCCCGGCTAATTTTTTTTGATTTATTGTAGAGATGAGGGCTCACCAAGTTGCCCAGGCAGGTCTCGAACCCGTGAGCTCAGGCAATCCACTCACCTCAGCCTCCCAAGCGCAGGATTACAGGCTGAGCCACTTAGACCGGCTTGCTTCATACATTTTTAAGTTATATTAGTAGGAGCAGAAATATTTAGAACTGTCATTAATAACTTGACTCTTTTATCAGTTTGAACTGTCTCTCCTTTTTGGCGGTAATACTCCTTGAAGTCCACTTTACCAATACACACACACACCTTTCTTCTAATCAATGGTGCATGGTCTTTTACCTAATTTTTTTTTTTACTATTAATTTTTCTGTGTACTTATATTTAAAGTGTGTCTCTTGTAAACAGCATATACCCAAGTCTTTTCCTTTAATCTGACAACTGGAAGAGTCTATTAAGATTTAATGTAATTATTGATTTAGTTGATTCAAGTCCATCAGTTTACAACTTTTCTATTTGTACCAACTATTAATTGCTCTTTATTTTCCAGCCTATTATGGAGATCAATTTTCTCTCCTGGCTTTAAAAAAAAAACTTTTCAAAGTTTACATAAAATTAAACTCATTTTTTTGGCTGTATAATTCTATATAAGTTTTGACAAATATGTATAGTCATGTTACCACTGTCAAAATAAAATAGTTCCATCACCCCAAAAACCTCCACCTATGACCCTTTGGAGTTTAATTTCCAGGCAATCACTAATCTCTTTGTGGTTCCTTGTAAGTTTTTGCCTTTTCAAGAAT